TGAGTGATTTATTAAATAAGATACAAACACTCAAACAATAAAGGGAGTTTGATAAATCTGATATATTAAAAATTAAGAATGTCTATTCATCAAATCACACCAAAAAATAATGAAATGACAAACACAACTGCTAAAGAATTATCTATCAAGACAAGTTAGGTTATCTCGAATCAGTAACACCCAAATTACCACTTAAAACAAACAAACAAACTAAGATTTATTTCTGGTATTATAGGTTGAGAAGAGGCATTGCTTATTATAATTGCTCAGGGAGTCAGGCAAGCCATAGGACCACATCTAACTTCAAAGGGAACACAATAAATTCTATTATGTGCCCAGAAACAGGGAAAAGCAGAAGACATGAGAAGAGCCCTAATAACAGATTAGAAACTAGAATAGGAAACTCTTTCAGAAAAATAAGAGAAACGAGGTAATTTGCTAAAACATATTTTATTTTCACTAGTCATCAGTACTTTCCATTAACAGGAAAACTGTTTCTGCCAAAAAATAAACTAGTAAAAAATAAGACCACAGAAATAGAAATAAAGACATTAAAATAATGATAATCTTTGTCATCAAAAGAACATTTTTACAGTTAATTTTATATAGTCATATAATTTATTTGAATTTTAAATTTTGGTTACTTTTATTTTTATTTATTGCTTTTTCAAACAAGAAATGCGGCAGTGAAAAGATACCTTTTGCTCTAATGGAACAAAAAAGGAATGAGAAATGCAAGAAAAAAAAGGCAGGATGCATAGAGTTGAGGAGTGCTGTATTTTGCCGTGTACAATGCACACACACATGTTTTGTGTGCGTTATATGCGGGATTATTATACCCACGTTATGTTAGCCATAATACCTAAAAAATTTGGGCAAAGAAATGCGAATTGTAAACAGCAAGACACAGTATGTCTTATATTCCTTATCTTGAACCACTAGACATGAGTTTATTTCAGAAAATATTTTAAGTAAACAAAACAACACATACTAAATATGCACAATTTTCAATTTTTTAAAATACTCACCCAAGGAAATGCTTATTGATTTTACAGAGAGGGAAAAGAAGAGAGCGAGGGAGAGAAACATCTATGTGAGAAAGAAAAATGATTGGTTGCCTCTCATATGCGCCCTGACTGGGGACCAAACCTGCATCCTAGGCATGTGACCAACCAGGAACTGAAACCACAACCTTTCGGTTTATGAGATGACGCTCCAACCAACTGAGTCACATGGCCAGGGCCTGTACAATTTTATATTTATATAGCTTAAAATTTTCAGAGTAATATATACAAGGGAGGAAAAATACAAGTTTTTAAAAATCCTTAAATTCAGGTCACAAGCATAATACTTGTCAAAGAGAGGAAATGCAAAAATACACCTATACAACTGAAAATCTGTGTTGTTAATAAATCTCCTATACTCTTCCTGATTCTAAGATTATTTCAGTTTATCTAAGTTACCAGGCTACTTATATAATTATTATTATATCATTTAAGGCAAGAAAGCAGATGAGGAAAGTGCAACTATCTTCATAACAGTTGACTCAAATGTCTGGCTTCACTGCCAACCAAACTAAATATGGTAAAAACATTTCAACATCCACTCGTTTAAAATGTGACCTGTGGCAGCTTCATAAGTTTGTGGATTGTTGATAAGCCAAATCACAAGCCATGTTTCCTGAGTGATACAGGCTATAAAATTCTATTTAACAATTATAAAGAATATTAAATATGAACAAAGGACACCCCATTATAATGGTTATAGGTATATGCATGCATGCACATTACACAAATACATCTGTGCCAGGGAAGATGGGATGGAAAAAGTTAATTCCTAAGTTTTAATGACAAATCCAAGAATATTTGAGTAACAAGAAAATTTGAAGTCATTTCTGAAGCAAACCTAGATAGAAAAATTACAACAAGAGATTTTAGGCAACTTGAATTTATATCATGAGTGACTATGAAACATGAAGTTCACTTAATATGTAATTCTGCTGACGGTCCTGATGAGAGAAAATAACACAGGTGAAAAAAGAATCATCTCTGGCCATTGGTATCATATAATTTCAGGATCTTATCTGTGTATTTCTAAGACGTCAAGCTGAAAACATAGATGGAAAACAGCAATACCAAGTGAGTGAACCTGGCTTAACTGAACAAGAATTAAGGATGCTTACTTTTTTATTAGGCCACCAAAAATAAAAAACCCTAAAGAATAGATCCATTGAAATGTGAAAAATGAGAAGAGGTACTCATAGGTATAAATATTAACATCCTATAGAGATTACAGTGTTTCTATTTAACTGATAACAATTTTATCAAATAGAAGTTCTATTCAATAAAAATGAAAATGTAAAATTAAAGGTAAGCCTAAATCTGGATATTCATAAATCTAGGAGGCAAGTGATAGTTTATTAAACGATAATAACATAAATGATTGGGCTTTTAAAATTACATTCTTATCTAAGATCTTCCAAAATAAAGGCAAAGTTCATTAACAACTATAGACAGGAAACATATCTGTATGACACCATGGGACAATTAGTGGACCACAGAAAAAGAAAAGATGTGTTTCTCTGCAATATATGATGCCTACATTGCTATTCTAGATTACAAGTACATTAAACATCTGTGTCCAATTCTGCGGGGCATATTTTTTATTTGTCCTTCCTTGTTGAAATTACTCTTGAAAAGAGGAAAAAAATATGTATGATATAGCTTAAAATTGGGTTATTCTAGATTGTTGTATCATTACTGCTATATGTAAAAAAAAAATCTTTCAAAGACAGAGGATTCTATACGATATACTTTAATTTTAAAATGCTGGTATGTGAAAATGTGGCTTTATAATAGTTATTTATCACTTGCACATTGTTTCAGCCAAAATAGAAATCTCTGAAAATCTTTGGATATATTTTATAAACCATATCTGCTCCTTGTTTAATTATGTAATTTGAGTTTTTCATCTTTTCAGCTTAGAAATCCCAGTGGAAGTACCAAAAGTAAGGAGGACACCTACATGACTTAGAAGATATTATAAATGATATTGCCATACCACAAAGACAACTTAAAACTTTTTAGCACAAGACTACTTAAAAGCTTAAATGCAAATTTCATTAGAGAAACAAGACCATCCAGAATTCATTGCCTTAGAATAACTGCCATAAACTACAGTGTCTAAAGCTCCACCTAACGCATTTAACACAGTCTGCTAGACTTAATTTCACTGATGCTTAAAAGGCAGACAGTAAGATAGTACAAACTCTTTAGTTATACCTTTGTGAAGAGCCTCAGCAATCCTGAGGAAGAACAAAGTAGGAGGGATCACAATGCTGATAGCAAACTAGGCTACAAGGCTACTGTAATCAAAACAGTTTGGCACTGGCATAAAAACAGACACATAGGTCAATGGAACAGAACTGAGAGCCCAGGAATAAATCCATGTCTCTATGGTCAATTAATATTTGACAAAGGGGGCATGAGCATACAATTGAGTAAAAATAGCCTCTCCAATAAATGGTAGAACTAACTGGTGCATGCAAAAAAAAAAAAAAAAATTAAACTAAACCACCAACTTATACTATACACCAGAATAAACTCTAAATAGTATAAACTATTTTAAATGGCTGCCAAGTAAATACCTCAAATACCCTTTCTCCAAAGCACCTTTCTGTAGTCCTAAAAGAGATGTTGGATTTTTAATCATACGGAACTAAATTCATACCTTCTCACTGAATTCATAATGGAAATCAGAGTGCTAATACAAATTCTTTGGTATTAGAATAATGGCATTATGAGTAAGAATTGTTAAAAGCCAACCCTAGCCTTAAAAAAATCAACACACTGTGTCATGTACAAATGAGTAACAATGACGATTGTCACAGGCTCCAGACTGGAAGTTAACACTACGTTAAATTTGAACATTTCAAAAACTCCCTGATATCCCAGCTATTTTGCTAGAATTATTACTGTTTATTCAAAATTTATAATTATAAAGCAAACTTATTATTTTCAATTTTTTAAAAAAATTCCCTTAATGAAAATATATGTATCAAATACAGTTTAAAAAAAGCTTAAAACTTTCCAAATGATTAAAAATTTGTCTATTTAGAAATACTATCCATTTTGTCTTCATTGAATCGGCATATCAATAAGTCAAATAAGGTGTCAAATATCATTAATTTTAGTTTACATACATTTAAAAATAAGTATTTTGCTTTGACTTGTGATTTCAAAAGTAAATTATAAAGCTACACAGTGTACCTTAAGTTTATTGTTTTAACAATGCCAATAAATTCTACTTTATGTGATAAAAGACACTGAAAACACGGCCTAAGAGATCAAAAAGATAGGACATTCAGTATGCTAGCAATAAAAGTAACATCATGTTAAATTTTTTAAAGTTAATTTATTTATTTTTAGAGAGAAGGGAAGGGAGGGAGGGAGAAAGAGAGGGAGAGGAACATCGATTAATAGGTTGCCTCTTGCCCACCCCTAAACAGGGACCTGGCCAACAACCCAGGCATGTGCCCTGACTGGCAATCCAACGTATGACCTTTGGTTCGTCGTTTGCAGGACAATGCTCAACACACTGAGCCACAGACAGGGCAACATCATGTTAATTTTGACAAAACAAACCTAGTAAGTCCTTACTAGTCTTTGGAGGCTTTTAAGCAAACTTAGGTCTCTAAGTTTTAAGAAAACAGAAAAATAATAGAGTAATATAGAGACCTAAATAGAAAATAGAAAAATAATATAGTAATTCTTTCTTATGACTTCAAAAGTAAAAAAAGTTAATTTATCTTCTTTTTAAAAAGACTATAAATGACTGGTAAATAGGTGCTATTTCAGAATCAAGTACCATAGAAAAATTGTAGCTGTTTTTAAAATATGCCACCATTCTGCCATTTATTAAACACAATTAAGTACAGAAAAAACTGCTATTTTATTGTTTTTTTAAACCAATAAAAGTAGTTTTTTAATACAAATACTTACCATCCACTCAGATATAATAACATCCACTTTTTCTACAGGAAGACGAACTTCTTCAATCTTTCCTTTAATTAGTATGATAGTATCTTCAAGTTTATTTAGCCTAAAAGTTACCATAATGAATAAAATTAGTATGTTAAACAGATTTTGAAAACTACATAATTACATAGTTTCAAGTCAAATTACATAATTTCTTGACAACTGTTCAAATTATTTTGTGGAACTGAAAGTATATTCAAAGTTTATTTCCTGGACATATAATTACTTTTTTGGTCACTTCATTAATGTCTAAATCTTTTGCCCATTTTAAAAATCAAATCAGTTATAACATTATTGATATTTAAGAATTCTTTATATGGTCTGGATAAAACCCTTGTCAGATTTATGGATAGTGAGTATTGTCTATCATACTGTGCCTTTCTCATTTTTTTAATGTTAAGTTTTGAAGAGCCAAAGTTTTAGATTTTGATAAAGACTAATATTTTTTTCTTTTGCGTTCATGCCTTTGGTGACATATTTAAGAAATGCTTTCCTACATCAAATATTTGCCACTATGTTTTCTTTTAATTTCCATTTTGAGTTAATTTTTCCATATTGTATCATGTTCATTTTTTCCCTTATCAATACCTACTGATACTAACACTGGTGTTGAAAAACTTGTTTAGAAAAACTATCACAAATAATAGTTTCAACTTTGTTGAAAAATTATCACTAACTCAGAATTACTTTGGTATCTTTGTCAAAAACCAACTAACCACTTATGCATAGTTTTATTTCTGGACTTTCAATTCTATTTCAAAATTTAGATGTATATCCCATGCCAATGCAACGCTTTCTTGATTGTTATAACTTTAAATTAAGTCACAAGGTCTGACAGTATAAGTCCTTCAACTTTATTCTTCTTTTAAAAAATTCTGGGGTGGAGGGATTGAGCAAAAAGGAAAAAGGACTCATGGACACAGACAACAGTGTGGTGATTGCAGGGGTCAGGGAGGTATAAGGGGACTAAATCGTAATGGAAAAAATACAATAAAGATTAAATTTAAAAACTAAAATATTCTTTTAACTATTCTAGGTCATTTGTGTTTCCATATGAATATTAAGGTCCGCTCTCAGTAACTTTCTGCACAGTTCATGTCTTAGATATATTTTGTTAAATTTATCCCTAAATGTTTAATGATTTTGGTTGCACTGAAAATGCTAATTTTCCAAAGTTTCAATTTCTAATGGTTTGTACCTACTAATACAAGTATGATTGATTTTCATATTTTGACCTTGAATCCCATACTATCATAAAGGTTTTAGTTTTAGCACAGTTTCAATTGCTACTTTATAGATTCTTAGGATTTTACATGTACATGATCTTATCCTCTGAGAGTAATGACAGTTTTACTTCTTTCAAATCTGTCTTTTATTTCCTTTTCTTAGTTTATTGTACTTGTTAGATCCCCAAAACATTGTTGAATAGAACTGGTGAGACTGGACATCCCTTGTTTTATTCTCAGTTATAGGAGGAAAACATTCATTAACTAATATGAAACAGGGCAATCCCTGTAGGTTTTTGTAGCTGTACTTTATCAGGTGAGAAAATGTCCTTCTTTCCCAGTTGATGGGTTTTTCTCATGAATGAGTTTGAAGTACTCCTCCTATTCATTCTATAGCTACTTGTTCCATCAATTATTGACAAAGGAGTGCTGATATCTCCTGACACGATTAAAATTTTGTCTATTTCCCCTGTAATTTGTCAGTTTTTGCTTCATGTAGTCTGAAGACTTTATTCATTGATATAAGTATAGTATTATATATTCTTGATTATTTGGTCTTTTGATCATTATAAAATGTCCTTCTTTACTCTTGATAAGTTTTACAATGTTTCCTTTGTTTGATATTTATATAGCCACTCCAACTCTTTCAATGATTTGTGCTTACATAACACCTTTTTCCATCCTTTTACTTCTAACCTATGTAATTTTATATTTAAACTAGATTTTTTAAAGGCAGAAAATAGTTAGGTCTTACTTTTTATAGTCTGATAACCTCTGTCTTTTTACCAAGGACTAGAAAATTATGGCCTGGCAGCCTGTGCCCCAGCATTGTATAGCCCACAGGTTGTTAAGAAAGAAGAATAAAAAGAAGTATTAACAGAGAAGTAACAGAGACCACACATGTCCCACAAAGCTTCAAACATTTACTATGTTATCATTACAATATTTACTGGCCATTTACAGAACGGTTTTGCCAACCCCTGTTTTAGAACACTGTAGAAGCATAGCTAAGGTAAGGAATACAGTGAGAAGGTCTAATATGGAACCAAATTGGGTCACACAGAAAAAGAAACAACTAAAAAGGGCAGAAAAAATATTGGAGATAAAGAACGAGAATTTTTTAGAACTGATATAAAGCATTATGCCACAGACAAAAGAAATATAATAAATCTCCAGAAGGCCAAATTTTTTTAAAAATCAAGGTATTACTGTAAAACTTCAGAAAATCAAAAACAAAGAGAACATATTCACAAAGGTAGATTACCTTCAATGAAATAACAATTATTCCAATCGGCAACTTCTTGACATCAACAATGGAAGTCAGAAGACAGTGGAACAATACTGTCAATGAACTAGAGTGGGGGTGGGCAAATTTTTTATTCAATTGCCAAATAATAAATATTGTAGACGTGTAGGCCATAAACCATCCTTTGCTGTGGATAATGCATATAATGTGCACCCACATTTTTCACCCAAACATTCAGGAAAAAAAAATCTTTCATTTTAATTTTTAATTCAATTATTTATTCATTTATATTTAGATACTTCTTTTTGTATTACAAAGGAATTTTTGCATTTATCTTTTAATATATTATGGTACAAGAAATTTTATGTAACCAATAACTACAGAACACAAGAACAGATACAAGGTATTTCAAGTACTACCCATGTAAAATGCGCATCCTTATTTTTCCCTCAAAAATTTGGGCAAAAAAATGCATATTATATATGGCAAAATAAGGTAGTTTCTGTTACAACTGTTCAATCACTATTGTTATAGGAAAGCAGCAATAGGCAACATGTAAACAAAAGGGCACTGCTGTGTTCCAACTTTATTTACAAAAGCAGGTGGTTGGTCCATGGCTAACGTTTAGTGACTCCTATATAACAGCAGTATCACCGCCAACCAAAAATTCCATATGCAAAGACAAATATCTCCAAGAATAAAGTTAAAATATATTTTAGAACCAACAAACACTATATTGTTTGACTACAGCTAAAAATGTACAACAAAGAAAATGTTAAAAAATTAGTTCAGAAAGAAGGAAAATGTCCCTAAATGGTCAGGGAAATAGGAAGGAATAAATGAGAAGGAATATATATGTGGGTGAGTGGATACAAAGGACCAGATTGTCAAATCTGTCTCACACAAAACACAGATTATATCCAGTGTCAGGCTTTACAAATAATTTTTAAAATATGGGCAAGTAAGACCTGCAGACAAATCCGGGAGAAGACTGGGACATTAAAGGCAGCTGCTTCGGTCTTTCCTTCCCTGTATCAGACATGTACTCTCTGGCCTGGGGTAGACAAAATCTTTAAGTAAGGTACATGGGTTATTAACTCACATAGTAAGGAGCCCCTCTGTGTGTACCAGACTGCTCTCTACTTCTTCTAAGTCTCTTAATTGCCTGTGTCTTTGAAATTATTAATGAAGCTCAATAGTGGGTAATTTTGGGTAACCTGGTTTGTGTGGAGGCTGATTTGACAATATATTAGCTCAGAGTGGTGCTATGAGGAAGACTATTGTACCGATCCATGAATCACAAAGGCTAAGGCACACTTAGGCCAGAAAAGGAGGGGACAAAAAAATACGAGTACAACCCACTGAATGGGAGAACATACTCCTGATACACCTGACAATGGGTTAATGTCCAAAATTTATAAAGAACTTATGAAATTCAACACCAAAAAAATAATACAATCCAATTAAAAAATGAGCACAGGACCTGAACAGACACTTCTCCAAAGAGGACACATAAATGGCCAACAGACATATGAAAAGTTGCTCAATTACTAATCATCAGGGAAATGTAAATTAAAACCACAATGAAATATCACTCACACCTGTCAGAATGGATATCATCAATAAATCAACAAACAAGTGCTGGTGAGGTTGTGGAGAAAAGGGAACACTTTTGCACTGGTGGTGGGAATGCAGACTAGTGCAGCCACTGTGGAAAGCAGTATGGAGATACCTCAAGAAATTAAAAATGGAACTGCTTTATGACACAGCGATTCCACTTCTGAGAATTTACTTGAAGAAAACCAAAACACTAATTCAAAGGAACATAAGCACCCCTATGTTCATTGCAGCATTATTTACAATCACCAAGATATGGAAGTAGCACAAGTGTCCATCAGTAGATGAGTAAAACAACTATAGGACATTTACACAATGGAATATTACTCAGTCGTTAAAAAAGAAAATTTTAACACTTTGTGACAGCATGGATGAACCTGGAGAACATTATGGTAAGTGAATTAAGCCAGAGAAAGACAAATACCGTATGATTTCACTCATATGTGGAATTTCTGAACGAACTGGGCTAACAGGCAAAATACAGACACATAGAGAGCAGCAGACTGACAGCTTGGGGGTAGGTTAGGGGGTGGAGAGATCGCGCAAAAAGAAAAAAGGACTCATGGACATGGACAACAGTGTGGTGACTGGGGGAGGGGAAGTGTGGAATAAGGGGGGGAAATGGTAATGGAAAATTCAATAAAAAATATGAGGAGGATCTAATCTTTGATTAAATGCTTACATATTTTTGGTAGGAAATGGCAAAACTTAAGCTCAGAAAAGTTGGCTTCTGGCTTAATAGAGAGTAGTAGGTAGAGAGGAATATAATGAAAAATTCCATTCTCTGGCTGTTACTAGTGTTTCTAAATGCCAGCCCTTTCAGAGAGGAGAGGATGGCAAGAGAAAAGACTTAAAAACAGCTTTTTCCTCTCACTGGAAGGCTTATAAAGCTACCTTGGAAGATACAATATTCACTTAGAAAGCAATGAACTTAAGGCTATGGGTTACCCCAAAGACAATACAGGCAGGTGGAGG